ATTATTTCCTCCCCCAGTTTGGGGAAGTTTTCAGCAATTATTTCTTCAAAGAGACTTGCTATCCCTTTTCCTCTCTTTTCTTCTTCTGGTACCCCTATAAGACGGATATTATTCCTTTTGGTTTGGTCACGTAGTTCTCAGTATTGTTTCGTTCCTGGAGATCCTTTTATCTCTCTCTATGTCAGCTTCTATACGTTCCTGTTCTCTGGTTTCTATTCCTTCAATGGCCTCTTGCATCTTATCCATTCTGCTTATAAATCCTTCCAGGGTTTGTTTCACTTCTGTGATCTCCTTCCTGACATCTGTGATTTCCCTCCAGACTTCATCCGATTGCTCTTGCATTTTTCTCTGCATCTCCGTCAGCATGTTCATGATTTTTATTTTGAATTCATTTTCAGGAAGACTGGTTAGGTCTGTTTCCTTCTCAGGTGTTGTCTCTGTGATCTTTGTCTGCCTGTAATTTCGCCTTTTCATGGTGATAGAGATAGTTTGCAGAGCTGGTATGAGTGACAGCTGGAAGAGCTTTCCTTCTTGTTGGTTTGTGGCCTTCCTCTCCTGGGAGAATAGCGACCTCTAGTGGCTTGTGGTGGGCAGCTGTGCGCAGACAGGGCTTCTGCTTCCTGCCTGGTTGCTATGGAGTTTATCTCCTCTGTTGCTGTTGGTGTGGCCTGGCTCGGGCTGCTCCTCCAAAATGGTGAATCCCCATTGGAGGGGGAGCGGCCGGGAGGCTATTTATCTCCGTAAGGAGCCTCTGTGCTCCCTGCTGCCCAGGGGCTTAGAGTGCCCAGAGATCCCCAGGTTCCCTGCCTCTGGGCTAAGTGTCCTGTCCTGCCCCTTGAAGACTTCCAAAAAGCACTTTCCAAACCAAAAGAACAACTGCAACAACAAAAGAAAAAAAAATTAAATAAATAATTTTTTTAAAAAAAGGAAAAACGCGATTTTCCTTTTCCTCAGGCGCTGGTCTCAGGCACCTGCTCACCGGTCTTGCTGCCCTGTTTCCCTAGTATTGGGGTCCTTGTCCCTTTAAGGCTTCCAAAAAGCACTCGCCAACAACAACAAAAATAAAGCCACTCCCGTTTCTTTGTTCTCTGGCGTCAGCCTCAGGCACCCGCTCACCGGTCCTGCCGCCCTGTTTCCCTAGTATCCAGGATCCCGCGCATGCACTGCGTCTGTGCTCTGGTCCGGATGGCTGGGGCTGGGTTTTCAGCAGTCCTAGGCTCCCTCCCTGCTGACTCCTCTCCTCTTGCCGGGAGCTAGGGGCAGGGGCACTCGGGTCCCGCCGGGCTGGGGCTTGTATCTTACCCCCTTCACGAGGCCCTGGGTTCTCGCAGGTGTGGATGTGGTCTGGATGTTGTCCTGTGTCCTCTGGTCTCTATTTTAGGAAGAGTTGTCTTTGTTATATTTTCATAGATAATGTAGTTTTGGGAGGAGATTTCTGCTGCTCTACTCACGCCTCCATCTTGGCTCCGCCTCTGTTCTGCTCTGTTTTGTTTAACTGTCTTTATTAGCATTGGAGTTAAACATAATCACTAGCACTCTATTTCTTTTTGTAGTACCAGTGGGCTACTTTTTGATGTGTTAATGTCACATCACGTTTGGTAAATAGTCTGCATGAATTCAGTCTGATTTACTTGGTGCAGATGATTATGCTAGTTAGCAGTTCTCACTTCTCTCTCGTTTTTGTGTCCCCTTCAGATGAGGAGTATAGAAATGTTTTCCTGAAGAACTGTGTGCACAGAGCACAAGGCCAGAGGGAGCTCTTCAGCTGGCATTCTCAAGACAGAAGTGAGAAATATAGATAGCACTTTTAAGAAAACTTTGAGATATAACTTATGTGCCCTTAGGTTCACCTGTTTGACGCATGCAACTCACTGAACACAGGGGAGTAACAGACTTGTGCCAGCATAGCCGTGATCTCACTATAGATCATGTTGGTCTTCCAGAAAGAAACCTGTTCCCTGGTAGCAGCCACTTCTCATCTCTTCCTCTTCTCAACTCGAGAAGGCCACTAGTCCAGAGGCAGGGCTGCTCACACCCTCATCTTGTCTGAGCAGTTCATAAGTTGTGATCACTTCATGGGTGATCTTGCAGCAGGCTTCTTGACTTAGCATTATGTCCTCAGGGCTGTGCCAGGACTTCATTCCTTTTAGTGGTTGAACGATGTTCTGTTTGGGGGGCAGACCACATTTTGCCTTTCCGTGTATCTCCATTCCATGTCTGGACATTTGGCTTGTTTCCACCTTGGGGCTGTCGTGAGAAATGATGCCATGGAAACCCCGTGTAAGTGTTTATATATGTACATATTTAGTCGTCTTGGGTGAATACCTCGGTGGAGCTGCTAGGTCATATGGTGACTCTGTGTTTGGCTTTTTGAGAAGCTGCTAAACTTTTTCAAAGAGACATCACTTTATATACCCACCAGCAGCCTATGAGGGATCCAGTGGCCACATTCTCAATATTCTCATGCTGTTCCTGTTGTCTTTTTGATCGTAGCTGCCCCGTGTGGGAGTGGTATCTCAGTGTTGGGTTGCATTTCCATGATGGCAGATGGCAATGAGCGAATTTCACGTGCTTACCAACCGTCTGTACCTCTTTGGAAAGATACTTGCCCATTTCTTATTAGTGTCGCCTTTTTACTCTTGAGTCGTAAAAGCTCTTTATGTAGGCTAGATACCAGTCCCTTACCATACAGATGATTTGCTGAGGCTTTTCCCCTTTCTGTGAGTTGTAGTTTCACTTTCTTGATGGTGTCCTTGGAAGCACAAAAGTTTTTAATTTCTTTTAAGTTTGACTTACAGTCTCTTTCAGTGCTTGTACTTTTGGTATGGGATCTGAGAAATTTCTGCTTATCCCGTGTCAGAGATTTCCTCCCTTGTTTTCTTCTAAGAGTTTTGTACTTTTAGCTCTTAGATTAGAGGTCTGCAATCTTCTTTAAGTTAACTTGTGTATATGGTGAGAGGAGGGGTTCCAAATTTCACCCTTTCCAGGGGTTTATTCAGGTGTCCCTATCCCATTTATTGAAAAGACTGTTCCCTCAGCATAGGATGGTCAGGCATCCTCGTAGAAATCAGTGGGCCGTAAGGGTAGAGCCCATTCCTGAAGAGGTGTATTTCCAGGCCCTGCACCCGCGGCCTCAGCAGCTTCTGTCAGGTGCAGGGACGTACCTCACTGCCGACTGAGGGTCCACAGTCCCCTTAGCCTCTCCCCTGCACCCTCCCGCCATGTAGCCAGACGGCCATGCTGGATGCCCCACATCACTCCCTGGCTGAGCTCAGGAACATTTTGTACTGTGCAGGCCCCAGGCAGGAGCTTCCTTGGGGCAGGACACCCTGCAGTTGGCCTCGTCCATGCTGCCCTTGTCTCTGCACAGGGTCCCTCATTGCTCACCACCACTCTAGCCCCTGGGGCACACTTGTGGTTCTGGTCCTGCCTCTGGGATTGCACACTTTTGCATCTTCACAGGCCAGCATCTTCTAGGCCTGTGTCATCAGAGAGCCACATAAAATCCAGCACGGCCCCCTTCAGACCACTCCAAGTCTGCCCCTCCAAATAGATGTATTTGGTAATTTGATGGGAAAATCACTGAGCAGGGCCCGTCTAGGCCTGCTGGTCAGCCTTATTAGCTTCCAGAAAAAAATTGTTTCTAAAATTCTGAAATCTTTTTTCTTTGAGCATTTTATAGTACCAACAGAACAGTTTTAAACTGGGTTCTACTATAATTGTATACCTGCTCAGACTTGGTAAATGAACACCTGTTATGTGGAGCACAGGGTGCCAGGCAGTGAACTCCAGTTCAACAATAGACCCTGAAAACTGACAAAGGAAAGTCTGTTCCTCAAGGTCCTCGACGTATGGCGAGCCTCTGGGGGCCACAGGGGGAGGCTGTGGCAGAGCGTGGCCAGAGTGTGGTGGGACCTGGGGTGCACATCTCTATCAGGCCCGGGTGCAGGGCTCTGGGGCTCCAGGGCTCAGGCTGGGTTCAGACCACTAGAGCAGGTTTTGGTAAACCCCACGGTGGTCTTACCTAAGGGGCACATAAGGGGAAGGTGCTGGGAGGCAGGGCTGGGGGCCATTGAGGAAGCCTACTAGGAACTTAACACTGCTTGTGACTCTGCAAGCTGCTAACCTGGGGTACACACTCTCATGAGGGGCCAGCGTCTGAGGACGGCCCCTGCAGGTCACTTGTCCAAACAAAATGGATGCCAAGGTTGCAGTTCAGGGAGTGGCCTAGCTCCACTGTGACAGCATTCTGCAGAGGCTGTGGTCCCATGCAGGTCTGGGTGTTTGCTCATCCTGGGTGGGGGAATGTTGGGCAGGCATGCATGGCTGCTGGGCAGGTGGGTTGTGGAGACAGGCACGGAGAAGGCTGGCTGTGCACCTAACTGGATGACCCCAGGAATGGCATTGATAGCTGGGACAGTGGCGTTGTGTTTGGTTGTAATGCTGAGGTACGGGGGCTGAAATGAGAAGTTGTCTGGGACTTGCTCTCAAACACTCCCTGCAGAGGAGCAAGCAGCCAGAGCGCTGATCACCCAGAATCTGGGGGTGGCAGATGAGGTGCTCGGCCTCTCCTTTCTCCTCTGGTGCCCACCAACAAGTGGATAGCTTAAAGAAGAGATTTTAAGGCTCTGGAGGTGGGCTTCTGAGGATATCACACCTGCAGTCCCTGAGGGACGCTCAGCTCGGTGCTTCCCCCCACCCAGCCCATGCTCGCTGCCACCTCCCCTGGTGTGGGTGGCCCCAAGGCTGCAGAACATCGCTTCACATCACTCATGCTTCCCTGTTCTTCCCTTTCTTGGCCAGACACTGTATAATGTGAAGGCTGAGATACGGCCACCCTTGGGGGCGGAGCTCTGTAGGACTGGCTCGCTGTGCTCCTTGGAGGTGGCCATCACGCGGCTATCCGACCTCTTGGAGGTGGACAGGGATGACGCGCTGACGCAATCTGATGAGTACTTTTCAACAAAGCTGCTGTACGAAGGTGGGTCTGAAGGCTTCAGCTCCCCGCTGTGGCGCTAGCCCTGTGAGCCGGCGCCGGGCGCTCAGGGCCCCGGGCACTGCTGTGGGACTCCAGGCATCAGTCGTGTGGGAGACATGGTTCCTGGGTTAATGGGCCTTCCAGATGTTGGTGCCTTTCAGTGTTCAGTGTCTGGTCACAGGCTTCGGGCTCATGGTGGACACATCAGGATAGTCTTTGAGGACCCGGATGCTACCAAGCCCACAGTGGCAAATGCACATTTTCCAAGACTGTTTGGTCAGAGTTACAAACTGTATCATTGGCATCATCTTTGAAATGTCAGGCTCACACCATTCATTTAAAGAAAATGCCTGCAGTGCCCAGACTGAGGAGCTGTGGCTGGTGAAGCCCGGTGAGCCCCATGGCCTGGTGGACTGTGCTGGGCCCGCGTCCACTTGCTGTGACAGGAGCAGCGCAGCTGTGGTGCACGGAACTGCTCTCTTTTTGCAACTCCTTAAGAGTCTATAATCCTTTCAAAATTAAAGTTAAAAAAGAAGGTGTACCTAAGGGTTGAATTTAATAAAATTAATTTTATTACTACATGAAGGGCATTCTTAAGTAAAACTGGCAATTATTTTACTGCAGGGTTGTGGTGGCGAAGAAGACAATGCCACGACTCTTGGTACCTGTGCTTCGGTTCACGCTCAGGCCCACGCTTTCCCCACCGGGGCACATGTCCCACAGTGAGGAGACAGGGATATGGCCTCGCAGGTGCCCTGAGGATCACGCTCTGAGAACTGCTGTACCATGTGTCCCTCCCAGATGCTGTCCCTTGGCATCCCTCATCCTCAAAAGTTCCACGTCCCCCTGCAGGAAGCCTCCCCTCTGTAGTCCCTTCTTTGTGTTCATGGAGCTCTAGTCACATGCTGCTGGGCTCTGGCTGTGTGGGCCACACAGGGGTCCTGTGACCTCTGTCTGCAAAGCCATCTGCTTGAGGACGCAGATCCTGCCCTACCTACTTTCAGCCGACTGCTCAGTTAGCTGTGTGAATGGCATTGAAACACATTTAGGTTGTGTCTTAGTCGTGTTAATAACAACTGCCGGGTGTTAACATGCTGATGAACTAGGAGAGGTTCTGAGTGCTTCACGTACATTTTCTTCCCTTCCCGCTGGGAGGTTTGTGTGAGTGGCTGAGGGGGAGTCAGGCCCACTGCTCTGGCACCGGCGCTGACCGAACAAGCCCCACCCTATTGTATCCCCGTTCCTAATTTAACAGCCGGAGCAAGCCGACTCTTGAAGCATTACACATGAACTTTTCAAAAAGATTGCACGTCAAAACTGAATCATTGTTCATTTATTAGCTTGAGAAAAATTGATTTCCCTGTGCCTAGAGTGCATATCTTAGGTTTAACCTGCACCTTTACTTCCAGGTGCAGTCATGAGACATGGAGGCACAGGAGCCTTACGCTGCAGTGTGAGGCAACGAGTAGCTCTTACTTTGGTATGTATACCAGATGCCCTTTCCTGGGGCCAAAACAGTGGTTCCCCTCTGTTTCAGTTGTGGACAACAGTAGCAATTGGGCAGTGTGTGGGAAAAGCTCTGGTGTCATCGCCATGCCCGTGGCTGCCCAGGCCACTCACAGAGTGCACATGGAGGTCATGCCCCTCTTTGCGGGTTACCTGCCGCTTCCTGACGTCAGGCTGTTTAAATACCTCCCACATCATTCTGCGCACTCCACCCAACTGGACGCTGGTAAGGACTCGGCATGCTCAAGTGTACACTCATGGGGCGGAGTGGTGGCTCCACAGAGAGCTGAGGGGCCAGCATCGTACAGAATGCTGTCCTCTGTTTTGGGTGCCCATGGAACATAATGCCCAAACCTAGTCAGCATTAGCCTCAGGTGCCTGCTCCAAGGGCCCGCGCCGGCTACTCTCCGAAGGGCTTGCCTCGGTTCATCTTCTGCACTGGATGCCCGCTTGGGGTGGCTCACCCCACCTGGGGAGAGGAGGGGTTGGTGTCCGTGGCCTGCATCTCACTTCCTGTGCGTTTTTCAGATAGCTGGATAGAAAACGACAGCCTATCGGTGGACAAGCACGTGGATGACCAGCCGGACAGCAGCAGCATCAAGAGCAGGGGCAGCGTGCACTCGGTCACCAGCAGCGAGCACAAGGGCTTGCCCATGCCTCGGCTCCAGGCGCTGCTGCCTGGCCAGGTCTTCAACTCCAGCACAGGGGCACAGATCCTGGTCATCCCCAGCAGAGACGACCATGTCCTCGAAGTCAGTGTCACATGACGACGCCTCTGGCCGACCTACACCTCGGGCCTGTGCGAGGGTGCCGAGGGGTCCTGACTCAGTTGCTCTCCATTGTAACATGCTAGCTCTAACCAGACTTTTGGGGGTTCCGCTTGGCCACGGAAACATCCGAGAATTTCAGTGTACAGCTGGGCAGCTGGGTTATGTCATTATTTTTGTGTTGTTTGTGGTGTCCGTTTACTTATTTTTCTCATCTCCCTGCCTGTGTCGGGTGCCCTCCAGTGTTTGCCCAGAGCGCGCTTCCCCCACCCGTCACCCTGCCCTGCTCCTGGAAGAGGTGCTGAGTGCTCTCACCTGAGTGCCTCTCACCTGCTGGGTCTCTGTGGAAGTCCATGTGTCTTTCAGGTGATGCTCAGCAGGTGTTAGTCTTGTTGGCGGCATGTGTGTGCCTTTCTGTTCACACAGCTGCCCAATTCCTGGACCAGGTGAATTTGTAAGTCTCCTAAGGGGTCCAACACAGTTCTGTATCCCAGATCTTCTAGTTGTGCTTTTCTAGTGACTCCCTTTTAGGGTGGGTGGGTGGGCTGAGGGGTGGGGTTGGGGGGGAACCTAGCCCCTTCTGTGCCTTGGGATGTCAGACTGGGCGAACCTGGGGCACCCAGCAGCTGGAGCCATTTTAAAGGTACTTTAAGGAGACTAGACCAGGTCATAAGTAATAACTTGGTATTGAAATAGTTTCAGAGTAAATGTTTCTGAGGCCCTTTTCCCCCATAATGTTGATTATCATATGCACTTGGAATTAAATATATTTATTTTAATTATATACGTGCGGGTTAATATGTTGTATTGTTTTTCTCTCATCTTTACACTTAAAGTCTATGTAATTGTAACTGTGTAATCAATACTTTTCTTTTGCACCCTACGTCTTTGAAGTTAAGAAGTTCCGTTTAAGTGAAGGCTAGAGGGTGTCCTTTCAGTGTATTTCCAGTCTGGTTATAGGAGGGACGGAAGTCTTAGAATATTCTCTGCTGGTCGACTAAGTTGTAGTCATATCATACCAACGGATTAATTTGCTTTCAGTTGTAAATTTAATTGTACATATGATCGATTTATTATTTTTAAAAGTACAAACTAACCGATGTAATGTTTATGTATAAGTTGCACCAAAAATCAAGGACAAAATAAATGTGTGTTTGTTTTTACTGGTGTGAAAGTCACAGCTTGTAAATAACTATTGTATGTATTAAACCTTTTCCAGCTCTCCAAAGCAATGTATTTTTGTACATATGAAATAGAGAACTCTTAATTCACTGGGAAAGTGTGGTTGGGATGAACTTGATCAGATTAATGCAGGCAAGTGTAGTTGGGTTGGCAGAGGGTGGGGCCTCAAATAATGCCTCAATAAAATCTGAGAATGATCTCAAATGTGTGAGCCAGGCCTGTTCAGCTGCCACTGGCCCGCGCTTGTCACCAGCTTCAATGAGGCCAGTGGTGTGGGTGTGAGAAGGCACGTTTCAGAATAAACATGGACAGAGCAGTCTTTCCACGCTTCTGTATGTTGTCTTTTCATTCAGCAAATAAAGTTGGTGTGATCCCCACCCCCACCCGTGTCTCTTTCATTTATAGAAATTGGACAAGTCTGTAAAGATTTATGTATGTTAGCTTTGCAGAAATTTATCTTCCTCATGTGCAGTTTAAAAGTAATAATCTTGGTCAACTAGTTAGGCAGACTGGAACTTAAGAATGTAAAGATGGTCTAGGGTTTCTAAAAAAGTAAGTTTGTTTCCTTGTGAAACTTGATTGCCCTGCAGCTCTGCCAGGCCCTGTCAGTGAAAGGCTCTTTGCCCTTTGATTCCATCCGAAAAGCCTCTAACCTGCGGGGGTGGCCTGGGAGCCAAGGAAACAAACATCTCGAGGTAGCCTGTCTCCCACCTTTGGAAGGGGGAGAGTGACCCAGCTGTTACCTTAGTTCTGATTTTTGTGTCTGGGTCCTAATGCCAGGGTGGCGTTCTCTAATTACATGTATATTTAGAGGGGAAATTTGAAGAGGAAATCCAAAATATTCATGTTGGTTTCTTACTGTCTGAAAACAGTAAAATTTATCATAGGTTTGTTTTTTGCCCCAGTTACTCAAAAATATCTTTTGCAGCCTAAGTTTAGGTGGACGCCTCTGTTTTTTGTTAACACAAAACAATTATCACCTCAAAGTTCAGTTTTTAGAACTAAAATGGTGTTTGGATTTTTGTTGTGTTTAAAATAAAATAGGACAATGTGTTTTAGGTAAGTTGGGTTTTTTGGTAAAGATGTAATTGTGAAGCCAGGTACAGAATGTGCCTCTAAAAAACAGCATCTGCAGCCATTTTACAAATATATGTGGAACATGTAAAATACTAACAAATGGAAAAGAAGTTAAAATTTTGGTGAATTTCATGGGATATCCTATGACTGGAAAAATTGTAACTCCTCTGATTCTAATATGGAAATTGTTTTATCTGAAAATGACTTATACCTAGAGCTTCATTGTCTCCACGGCAGTAGTGAGTGGGATTCCTTAGTAAGTCCTAGTTGATGAGGATAGATGTCCCATCAACAGTAGAGAAAATTCAGACTTCTATTTCAATTTAGGATTTAAAATAAGGTGGAATTATAAAACGGAACACTCCAGGTATATATACAATGAAAAGTTACACTTTTTAAGAAAGAACAAACTAGGGTGATCTGTTTTACTGTCAATTGTGATCTTGCAAATCCTACATTAATTCTAAAATTTGATTTTCCATGAAAAGGTCCCTTTCTCTAAATGTGTTCAGCCTATATACATCAGGCTGCAAGACCTGAATGTTAGTACAATTTGCTGGGATTCTGTGACTGGAAAAGGTGACAAGTTGGTGACTTTGACACTGCAGGTGTTAATTCCATTTCATGGTTTACTATGAAAGTCATTTTTCACATTATTCTGTAATATAGTCAGACTAAAAACCATTGTATTGAAACTTAAAAATGTAAGCATTTGAAAATACACATTTTAAGAAACTTTGCTGTTTTGAACTTCATTTGCTGTAGGGTGTGAAAATTGAGGGTGTAACGTCAGTTTCCTTGTTCCTGACTCGAAGCACAGTTGATTTATTTTGGGGGGAACATTAGGGAGGAGCAAAGACATTTTTAGAAGTTGGGGTTTCTTGTAGACGTGTTTGCCAGCCGCACATCCGGCAGTCACTAACCGCTTACGTGGTGTCTGGTGGCATCGCTGGCCGTCTCCTGCCCCCTTTCATGGTCCACCGCTAGTAGATGCGGAGGCGCGGGGGCGGCCCTCTCGCCCTTCTCGGTGCGGGAACGCGGGATGCCGCGCGCCTCCCGCCCACGCTGCTGAGGCCCGGCCCCGCCCCGCGCTCCACCCCGGGGCGGGGCAGGGGCCGGGCTCCGTCTCCGGAAGCGTCGCTCCTCCCGGCCGCGGGTGGCGCTGTGGCGCCGCGGTGCGGGCCGCCCCGGAAGTGCTTGCTGCGGGCGGGCGAGGACGCCGAGGCTACGGTGCACGTGCGGCGCTGGCTCCGCGATGAAGTTCGCGTACCGGGTGAGCTCGCGCGGGGCCGGCCGGGCGGGCGGAGGGGGCGCAACACCCGCCTCCTCGGGGCCGGCGGGCTGTGCCGGGCGGCAGCCGCTCCCCCTAAACGCCGGCTCCAGGGGCCGCGGGGGGCTCGCAGGAGGCGGCCCTGCGGGCGGCGGGCACGAGGCAAGCCGCAGGGATCGCTCTCAGGGTCGTGGGACATGGCGCACCCTTCCTGCTGTTTTAACATAAACGTCACCCTGCGCATACTGGCGCTGGGCCTCCCGCGGGGCGCCTCCGCCGCCCTGGCCGCAGGGCTCCTCCGGGCTCCCTCCCTGCAGCCGGCGCCCTCCGTGCCTTGGGTCACCTCCCTGGGGGACACCATCGCTTTGGGGACACCGGCGCGCTCGTCAGCGTGCCTCACGCCGCTGCCCCGGGTGCGTGCGGCAGCTTCCTCCGGAGGCCCCTCCAGGCCCTGCCCTCAGCTTGGGGCCCGGGCCCCCCGGTACAGCACCCGCCCTGTATGTAATTCCGTCTCCCATCATCCGCATGTGAGGGGCTCATAGCGGTGACAGTGGCGGAGCTGGTGGGGGAATGCGGTGCTGGCAGGTCATCCTGCCCACGAAGCCGTGAGCCCCCTGTGGCCGTTTCCCTCCCTGAGCCGGGGCCCTGCCCTCTTGTCCACCTGCAGACCCGCCTGTGGCCAGGGCTCACTGTGGCCCTGTCTGGGACTTGGGACCCTGGGATTGGGCTCACTTCTTCCCAGGGCCAGGCCGCATAGGTGTTCAGGAGTGCCCCAGGACAGGGGACCCTGCGGGAGACTCTGCCGTGTCCTTGACCAGAGGCCTCATTCTTTTCCAGAGTTGAGATTCTGTACTTCTGTTAAGATGCGTTTTTTTTTCTTTCAGTTTTCAAATTTACTGGGGACTGTCTATCGGCGTGGAAACTTAAATTTTACATGTGATGGGAATTCAGTTATCAGTCCTGTGGGAAACAGAGTCACTGAATTTGACCTTAAAAAGTAAGTGCACTAAAATGATGGGTGCAGTTGGCATGTAAACACTGAGGGTGTTTCCTCACTTTCTTTTGAATAGTAACCTGTTAATGGGGCAGCCCCAGGGGGCCACAGGGTCTGTGCAGTGATGGGCCTGTAGTGCAGTGGGTCACAGGCGTCCCAGCTGCTTCCAGCCCCTTGGCTAAACCCCGTGTATTGAGGTCACTGACGTTACCTTCAAGGTAGAGTTCACAGGGTGTGAGGCCGCCCTGGGCTCCCACCAGCCAGAGAGGCACTCGCACGAGTTGGGCCTGTCTGCCTGGGTGTACGCTTTCTCCCAGATAAGCTCGTGGCTTGTCAGGGAAAAGGACTTCAGTGGGCTGTTGTACCTTCCCAGACACATGGTCGGGGCGAGTGCTGTGCAGGCCTTGGTATCCTGAGCCGCCTCCGAGGGTCCCTAAAGCACTGGAGCCAAGTCAGCTGTAGGCGTGGCCATTACTGCTCACGTTTTGTTGAAACGACAGGTCCAGCTAGAGTAACGACCACACATTCATTGAAGAAAAATCAGAAAGTGAAATAATAACAAAATTAGAATTTAGCCCAATGATTACTCACTTTTAACATTACTTTTCCATTTTTGCACATTTTTTTTTTCTGTACACGATGTGCTGTCCATGCTAATCCCTCATTTTAATCTGTCGGTTTCCAGTTTTGCAGAGTCCTCTTTGAGATGCAGTTCTAGAAGCAAAACTGACATATCCAAAGCCCATTTTTAAGACGTTTAACATGCTTTGCTGAGTCTTCTGGGGGTCACTGACTTCCTCTCCTGGGGAGGCAGGGGACAAGGGAGCATCTCTGGCCAGGGGCTTGACTGACGAGGGGGACGGGGCAGGTGGGCGGGTGGTCCAGGTGGGGCCCACAGGCCCCCAGGAGGGCAGCCACACCTCTGGTTTTCGTCTCAGCAACAGATCCAGCACTCTGCCCCTGGCCACGCGCTACAATGTCAGGTGTGTGGGGCTGTCCCCAGATGGC